GTCATGACCTGTCCGTCTTGGGTGGCCCTGCACGGTATAGCTCATGGCTTCACTGAGTTGCACAAGCCCCTTCGCCACGACAAGGCAGTGATCCATGAAGGGGGCTTTGAGCTTAATGTCACACAAATATTGTGGTTTGTATGTCATAGTTTTTAGTGTCTACTGTGAACCCTTCAATTGAAGTTTATTTGATAAATCATAGTTAAAACACGATATAATAACACATTGTGCGAACCAGTCTCTTTCAACCCATTCACACATGCAAGATATTGAGGACTTTTGCAGTACTGTAGTCTAAAAGTTCAGTGTTTGGTTGGGGATGGAAACTGAGTTAATCTAATGCATTTATCGTGGGGTGTGTGCATTCAAATTCTACTTTTTACTCCCTACAGATGACTCGATGGAGAAAAACACATGCCTGCAGTGTGGGAGATGTTTTATGGAGATTTCAGAACTCCTTAACCATCAGCGATGCCACTCGGAAGGCAAGCCGTATAAATGTGTGGACTGTCGAAAATATTTTCCTGAGCTTTCTGAACTTCTGAGCCACCAAAGGGTCCACGCGGTCGAGAGGCCTCACAAATGCTCCGAATGTGGGAAAGGTTTTACTAAAAAGTCCTCCCTGGTGTGTCATCGCAGAATCCATACGGGAGAAAAACCTTTTAAGTGTTTGGAATGCGCAAACTGTTTTGCGCAAAGGTGGCTCCTTGTGGCCCATCAGAGAATCCACACGGGAGAGTTTCCTTATCAGTGTTCAGTGTGTGGGAAACGCTTCCCTGACAAAACAACCCTGATTGGTCATCGAAGAATTCACACAGGAGAGAAGCCTTTCAAATGCTCCGAATGTGGCAAAGCTTTTGCTTTAAATTCGGTCCTTATAACCCATCTGCGGGTCCATACTGGGGAGAAACCATATAAGTGTGCAGAGTGCGGGAAGTGTTTCACTCAGAAAGGAAACCTTGTTGGACACCAGAGAATCCACACAGGAGTGAAGCCCCATAAGTGTTTGGTCTGTGGGATGTGCTACCCTCACAACTCCCAGCTTCTCCAACATCAGCGGGTCCACACAGGAGAAGAACCTTTCAAGTGTATGGAATGCGGCAAATGTTATGCCCGGAAAGAAAGTCTCATCATCCACAAGAGACTCCACACAGGGGAGAAGCCGTATCGGTGCCTGGAGTGCGGGATGTGTTTTGCTGGCCGGGCGTCCTTTGTTTACCATAAACGTGGCCACACGGGGGAGAAGCCTTTTAAATGCTTGGAATGTGGGAAATGTTTTATCGACAAATCATGCCTGGTTTACCATCAGCGAGCTCACACTGGGGAGAAGCCCTACCAGTGCCAGGAATGCAGGAAAAGTTTTGCGGCAAAAGCATCTCTCGTTTGCCATCAGAGGATTCACACAGGAGAGAAACCGTACACGTGCGTGGAGTGTCGGAAATCTTTTTCTCTCAGGTCATCCCTGGTTTCTCATCAGCGAATCCACACAGGAGACAAACCTTACAAATGCTCAGAGTGTGGGAAGTGTTATGGGGACCGATCCTCTTTCATCTACCACCGGGGGACCCACAAGAGGGCAAAGCCTTATAAATGCCTGGAATGTGGAGCAAGTTTTGTTCCTCAGCCATTCTTTGGGAACAGTCAGAAAGTTCATGCCGAACAGAAACTTATCCATCACGAAACGTGCTCTCTGTACATTAAATAGGGTTAGGTATTCAACTAATCAAAAACTTTGTGATCAGTTTGGCCCATCAGTATCACAGGTTTATTTTTTTAAAGGATGATTTTGTTAGAATAGCTTGGACAATCCTCTGATCATCAAGCGAACTGAGTCTTTGCTAATTTATTTTTGCAACTTGGAGTTGTCAGACTTTTAAATAGCAACAAAATGTCTGTGTGGCCCCTTAAAGACTAACAAATGTATATTGTATAAGCTTTCAGTGTCTTCTATTAAAAATGATGGATTAATAATGGATGTCTTAGCCTTTAAATGCTGCAAGATTCATTGAATCTGAATTCTTAATTATTAGATTCACACATATTAAGCCATGGTTTGTTAAACTATGGTTCATTGAGTCACATGGCGTATGGGAAAGATCCAGTGATCATTTCTTTTTGGGTTGGATATCTGGAATCAGAGAAGCTTTAATATAGCCCTTCCCAATTTGCAGGCCCTCCTGATGTGTGGGCTTAAGCTCCCAGAATTCCTTAGGTAGCTTGGCCAACCTGAGCATCCTGGGATTTGAAGTTCACATATCTAGAACTGCCCAGGATTTCCAAGGATTGGAAACACTGCTTTGACAGAATGCCTGCAGATTGGCCAAAATGTTCTGTGTTTGTAGGCTGGGAAATATAATAGATGAATTAATGGAACATGGTTGCAAGTATTGAATATGAATAAAGCCAGAATAGACATCAAAACATCCAGACCTCAAGTACTGTTTCCAAAATTAGAATATCTTTCCATCAGATCCTTCATTTCTTTCCATTATGCAGCATCCTATAAAGCTAACACATATGATGAGCAATAATTCAAAAGGGAGAAACCTGAAACAATTGTTCAAATACAGACGTCAGAAAAACATTAACCGTGTGGTGCTTTCTCTTTACAATTGAGAACCATTGAGAAACACTTCATTTACTTGGCCTTTTTAACCTAGCTTCTGAGTTAATCTACTTTCTTCTGAGTGGTAACACAACGCTAACTGTAATCTTACCAAAAGGTGTGGGTTCACACAAGCAACCCAAGTTAACATCTGCCCAGTTTAGCACTGTGCAATTCCATGCTGTGACTAAATCTTGACTAAGTTAAGTGTTTTGTGTAAAAACCAGGCGTGAGATGCTGTGAGAAATTAGATCGGTCAACTTAAATTAAAAGCCTATGTTAATAAATGCATTTAAATGTTCCCCTGTATTAAAGCCCTATAGAACAGTGTTTCTCAACCTTAGCAACTTTAAGATATGTGGACTTTATTGGCTTGATTTGTAAAATCTTATTTCTTTTTACTTCTGGGATGTTTAAGGCTGCCTGCTCGTTGACAGCTCACGATGGCTTTCATGGGTTGTACCCCGCTATGAGATCTTCTGCATAGGGGGTGGCCTATGCATCTTTGAAATAAATTAGCAAAAATCTTATTTAAAAAAATGAGCAAGCCATGGATAGATGATTGGGGTTCGACTACACATTTGGGGAAGTTTTTTTTTTTTTTAATCCGCAC